ATGTTTAAAATAAAAACTAATGAATGGGTGCAGGGACTTCTGCTTCTGAAAAAGATGGGGCAGCACTGGCCACATTCACCCTCTAATCTGAAACAACCAAAAAAGCAAGCAAATATATGACATGATACATTGTTCATCTGGCAATGCAGGACAGTGATCCCCAAGAGATGGGAAACCATGTGATATTCTCTACAGCTGCTTCAGTTTACAGCCTGCAGAGGGTGTTGTTGTAAGCTGCAGTACAAGGAAGGGAAACTGAGGCAATGCCCAGCCTGAGTTGAAGACAAAGAGGTGAAATCTGAGAAGACTAAGGAAAGTAGACTTCCTAGCACAGGACACCAGAAGAGAGACATACAAAGAGAGGACTCTCAAGATCTACATGCATATGAGGCACTCAAGACTAGGAAAATAACCACTCAAAAGGATTAGGACTAGGAGTGCACAGAGTTTACACAGACCAAGAATAGCATCTCTTCTTACCAGCTGGACTGGAGGACATGGTTATTCAAAGGACACTGAGGAGAGCACACAGAAAGGTCTTCCTTGGAGTAGTCCTAGGCTGTGTGCTGCTCTAGTCCTGCCTAAAAAATCTCAAGAGCAAGATGTAAAAGGATCAACCCATCTCCAAGTAATGCAAGTACGTTCCAGAAAAAGCTACAAGAATATTTAAATGAATACAAAAATATCTACTACCAGAAATGTAAAAGATCTGGAATCCACTGAAAAATTATCAGACATACAAAGAAGCAGGCATACATGGCTCATGAGTAGGAAATGCAATCAATTAAAGCTAAGAACAGATAGGAATTAGTAGATAAGAATGTCAAAATGTATTTATAACTTTATTCGATATGTTCAAAAAGCTAAGATATAAAAAATGTAAGGTAAAAAAAATGACCAAAACAAAAATCCTAGAGATGAAAACTGTAATTTGTGAGATAAAAAAATAAACTGGATGGCATTATTAGCAGATTAGACAATGCAGGGAAAAAAATTAAAAAAAGATTAGTGAACTTGAAGATATGAAATAGAAACTATCCAAGAGGAAACAGAACAGAAAAGAAAATTTTAAAAAATGGACAAAATGTGTAACTGAAATCCAACATACTATATACACACACACATACATATATATATATATACATATACATACACATATAGCGATATATATCTATTGCAAAAAGGGCAAGGAGGCCACATCTCCTGATCTCCTCTAAGCCCACAAGAGGAAGACAGAGTCACTATCAGTAACCCAAGGCCTATTCCTGCAAGGCCAGACATGCTGCCTCCCTCCAGCCCTTTCACCAATAGTTTCTCCCAAAGCACCCACCACCTCTCTCCTGGGTTCAATAATTCACTGCAGTGGCCACACAGAACTCACAGATTATGGGGTTTATTAGGGAAGCACCAGGCTACAATTCAAGTTCAGGAAAAATGCTCAGTCTCTTTCCCCAGCCCGCCATCTCTCAACAGTCTCTCCCAGCAGCGTGTGTCTCACAGGAGCATGTCCTTCCTCAGCCAGCAGTCAGAGAGAGTTCTGCCTCTAGGAGGCCTCCTTTTGAGCCCTGCAGAGTGGCCAAACTAACCAATCATAACATCAGAATTCTAAGCACCTGAGAGAGAGAGCAGGAACCTCCCAGAACATTGCTTTTGTTGTGCCCAACACAAATACCCCAGGTGGATAACTTTTACAATCAGGAGCTACTCAGTTGCTCAAAGCAAATTCCACCACAGAGTTTACAAAGACTTATGGCTAGAAAAGCCACACTAAGTAGTTTACTACACGGCATCTATGTGCATATTTATGTGTATATGTGTGTGTGTATGTGTGTGTAAGATCTGGTGGCATAGTGCCTAAGGCATTTGACTGCTAACCAGAAGGCTAGCAGTTCAAACCCACTAGCCACTCCTTGGAAGGCAGATTGGGGGTGTGTATATATGAAGGCAGATTGGGTGTGTGTGTATGTATATATATATATACATATATATATATATATATATATATATATATATAGTGGAAGAGAGGTAGGACAGAAAAAAAAATTAGAAGAGAAATACTAGCCAAATTTCATTAAAATTATACCCACAGATGCAAAAAAACTCAAGTAGCCACAAGCATGAGAAATATTAATAAAACTATACCAAGTTACATAATAATATAATAGCTCAAACTTACTGATACAGGGAAAATCTTAAAAGCAGCCAGAGTAAAAAAGATAATGTTATGTACAGAAGAACAAAGATAACAATAAATCAGAAACAACACAAATCCTAAACAATTTATGCACATGTTAATAGAGCAAAATACATGAAGCAAAAAACTGATAGACTGGCATGAAGAAATAAATAATGCAGAATTATAGTCAGAGATTTTAGTACCTCCTGTCAAAAACCGATAGAAGACAGAAAAGCAATAAGAATATAGAAGATTTGAACAACTAACTCACCCTAATAAATATTTATAAAGCACTACACCCAACAAAAACAGAAATGTATATGCAACATTTACAAAAATAGAGCAAATTCCGAGCCATTAAGAACTCTCAATACATTTAAAAGGATTCAAGTCATATAAACTATCTTCAGTGCTTAATACCTTATACTGTTATTTATGAATATCCTTCATTCAAAAAAAATTCAAAATTATCACACAAACTATGTGGAACTTGTGGGGTTTTTTGGGTTTTTTTTTTTTAAAGATTTGCTTAGCCTCCATAAAAGTACTCTGAAATTATTTAATACCCACATGCATGCAGTTGTTTCTTTTCATCCCAAAGCATTAATACAGAAACTGTAATAGTGAAGAGCAGAAAGGCTGAAATCAGGAGACTTGGGTCCAACCCTAGTTCCGCCTCATAGTAGTCCAGCCTTCATCAATGTTCCCAACCTCTCCTTGTTTCCTCAAAGAGTACCAGTTTAACAGGTGCTATTGAATCAATTCCGATTCATGGCAACTCCATGTGCGTCAGAGTAGAACTGTGCTCCATAAGGCTTCCAGTGGCTGATTTTTCAGAAGTAGGTCACCAGGCCTTTCTTCTAAGGCACCTCTGGGCTGACTCAAATCTCCAACCTTTCAGTTAGCAGTCAAGTATGTTAACCATCTCCACCACCATCTACACTCTTCAAATAACACAGAGGGATGATATTTATAGCAGTATTACTAGGATTTGTCAAGGTAATTAGGTAAAGTTCTTAGCCTAGACCCCAGCTCATGGTACTCAACAAACAAACACTACTTTTTACCCACAAATTATTTAGGGCAGGGCCCACTCATTGTAATTATCTTATTATATAGTAACATGGCTACAACGAATCCTAGCAAGAGTGGAATACATGAAAATTATTACTTAAACCAAAGAAAAAAATCTTAGAAATGTGAAGAAAGTCTAAATAGAGTATCATTAAGTGAAAAGAGTCTAAATTCCAACTTTGGCATAGTAATTAAATAACCAATTTTGGTTGGCTATTTAATATTCTACTGTCTATATCTTTATCTGTAAAGTGGAGATGTCCTGTACCTTATGATGCTTGGGAATACTTAATGAGGTATTAAATCAAAGATACTGTCTACAACCACATTTCCTGTGCTTTTACCTGTCTGATAGTATAAGATTCCTTTTGCTTTTGAGAAAAAGTCATAAAATAGAATGATATTTCTCAATATGTCAGTTACTAATCTGGCATAGTGCATAAGGCATTTGACTGCTAAACAGAAGGTTGGCAGTTCAAACCCATCAACTACTCCAGGGAAGGAAGATTGGGTAATCTGCTTCCAGAAAGATTTACTGCCTCAGAAACTCAATGGGGGTCACTATGAGTTGGAATCCACTCAATGGCAGTGAGTTTGGTTATATATGTATATAGATAGATAGATAGATAGATAGATATAGATATAGATATAGATACACACACACACACACAAATACAAATTCAAACAAGGAGCCCCGGTGGCGTAGTGGATAAGGTATTTGGCTGCTATCCAGAAGGTCAGCAGTTCAAACCCACCAGCTGCTCTGGGAAGGAAGATGGGGAGATCTACTTCCATAAAGATTTGTAGCTTCGGAAACCCAATA